TGTTGTCCAGATTGCGGTCTCGGATTTGCTGCAGAAGGTTGGTGTGTCCTTGCCACTTTCCTGCATGGTGGCTGTGGCCAGCTGGTGAAGGTAGCCATCAGTCACCCTATGGTGGTCCCTCCGCTGCTTCAGGTTCCTTCCAGAGGCTCTTCTCAAACACATGCACCATTTTGGGTCATAAATAGTATAGGATTTTTCATACAGAGAATGAGTGTTTATTGCTTTCTTCTGGAGTGCCATTGCATTGGCAGGATCTTGTGAAAAGGCAAGAAAGGCATCTTGTCCAGCATTATGATAAAACTCAAATTTTCTTCAGCTTCCATTTTTTTAATAAGAACTCAGAAAATTTGATCATCTGGCTCAAAATGCATCTTTTTCATCCCATCAGGAAGTCAACGGGACTTTCTAGCTGGTGAATCTGAGAATTGAGGTTTAAGTTAAAGTCCCTGCGAACTGGCTGTAATGCCAATAATAATAGAGCAAAGTGTCACCCTCTTGATGGAGAGGAAGGACACCAGACAGATTGACATAGGCCAAAGTAAAGGTCAGTGTGACTTACGTGGGAAAACCTGCAGTGAGTTAAAAATGAGCTAATACTTTTTGTTTTGGTGGAAATCAACCCATCGTGTCCTAGGACTTTTCTGAATGGGTCAAATCTGTGAAATGCAAAATATATTGAACTTTCTTGTAGATTCTTTGGTGGTCTAAGACAGGTACGTGGTCTCCAGTAAAGTCTAGGGTTTGTTTGTGTGTTTAGATAATTTTCCATCTTCATGCATTTCTGGGTAGCTGAGAGTAGTAGAGTTGAACGGGAATCTGTTTTGAAAACAAAGACATTAGATGTGTTTCCAAAATACAGGCAGACGCGAAGAGAGGTCTTCTGGCCTGCTGGAACGAAGATGAAGAACAACTAAGACTGAGCAGCTAATAAAATATGGAGCTGAAGATGTTCTGAGTTTCTGATACTAGCCTTGGGGTCTCTTGTTACAGCAGGGGCATCAGGTGCTGCTGGAAAACACCGGGAAAGAGGCACATCACTGAGGTTCTCCCAACTGCAGAAAATCCCAGCGTAATAGTCTATTCCAGTGAGAAACATGGGAAGGTTTTTCCTCTTTGTGTCATTTTTAGATGCCTACATTCATGTAGTTGTATAGCAACCAGCCTTGGCTGTTCACTCTTGCAGCAGCTGCTGGGCCTGATGGATTTTTTTTTTTTGGTCTGCAATGGTGCAGTTATTCTCTAAACGTTTTGGAAGCCCCAGTAAAAGCCCACCTTAGCCTAACCTAATTCCTGTGCATTTTAAAATATATACCAAAACTGTATACCAAATAAGTTTATATGTCTGAAGATTACTCACTGATTCCTTCAAATAGAAAGCTCTTGCTGGAACCCAAATATTTACACAGTGCACCTTGAATGAGGAAAAAGATGCCCCACTCCACCCCACCAAATTACTTAATGATCTTTTTCACTTATTAAGATAGACCTCTAAGCTACCGAAACCTTCAGAAGACGCCCAGGGCCTGGACACTGGAAGCCAAACACATCACAGCGTGCTTGCTTGCAAGTGCCATTGCTTTGGTGAGAAAGCCAAGCAGCATCCCACTGACCTGCAACGTTGCAAGGCGAGAGATTCTCAGAAAGATTTACTTAAAACAAAACACTCCATTAAAATCCTAACATGAAAAAAAGAAAAAAGGCAGTGGTTAATTGAGTGCGAAGGTGAAGCTTGGGCTGGAAGATGAGAGCTGCACGGGTGGCTCATGGCAGGAGCAGTTCTTCCCTCCTGCTCCCTCCATGACTTTACCAAGGGGTGGCCAATCAAAGGTTATCTTGTTTTTTTTTTCTCCTTTTTTTCCTTTCCTTCCCAAACCTGCACAACCTTTAGCTTCTCAAAGACACCAGGATTCAAAGTGTTGTATCTAATACAGAGCCCTTTCTTCTGCCTTTTGGAATTTTGTGCACGTTTCAAGCTGGTTGCAGAGTATGCTGGGGTTCTTCACTTTTTGGGGGTTGTTTTTGCTTGGTGTGGGGCATGCTTGGCACTTCCCTGCATGCTGCCTACCTTCCCAGGCACCAGTGCCTGTTAATCACTTGATAAAAGCGCAAAATGAGGAAAGGAGCTTTTTTTTCTTTTGCCTGGTGCTTAGATCCCCAAACTTGATTGCCTTTATTAAATGGAAAGACAAATAAATTGAAAGCTCTCGCTGCAATGCCCTGGCGTAGAACCCCAGCGGCTACAGGTCAGCAAGTCACTTCGGCTTCCTCCTAAAGAGCAGCATCGTTTTTCACTGCACACACAGTGCGCAGCGTCCCGTGGTGCTTGCAGTGGGTTCATGTATTGAGTGTGTGTGTTGGGATATGGTCCGTGGGCTCCGGTGCAGCATCCCGGCATGGAAGTATCTCTGTTAAGGAGGATGCAAATCCTGCAGCCAGGGATGCCTGATGCGAGGGACCCATTGAGCCCCACTTTGAGATACCTTTGCCACTAGCAAATATCCTGGTGTTTTGCCACATCCACATCTCTGTGGTGTTTTGCTCAGGGATCCCAAAGGCATCTTTCTCCACGATTAATTTGCTGTGTTCCTCCAGATGTCCCTCTGGAGCATCTTTGACAAAACCCATTCTCTGCATGCCTTTTGGCACCAGCACAGCCTTTGCTGTGCTGTAGGCCTCGTTGCCAAAAAAACATGTGGGTGGCCATCTAGTCACTTAGACAACCTGTGCTCCAAGAAGTCATCCCTAGGAAGGAAGGGCATCTTGAGCCCAGTCTACGGTTTGGGGTGGACCTGGACCTTCCATCGTGTGGGTAATTGCAGCTGGAAGAGGAGCCTCTTGCCCAGGCCTCAGAGTCAGGGGTATATTATGTCTCCTAAGTAATATCCGCTCAGCTATGGAGAGTATGTTTATGTTTCTCATGTTTAAAAAAGGGAGAGGGAGGAAGAAGAAGGGGGGAAAAAAGGGAATCTGAGGTTACTGTTTTGCTGGAAAAATGTCAAGACTCGATTGGCAATATCCCACTAAACCACAAGTTTGTAGGAGAGAAGACAAAACCATTGGATTTTCTAAGCAATGCCTATGTGCACTTTAAGAAAAAAAACACCATCTAGGTCAGTTGCACTCTTATTATAGCTGTGGCAATCATACATATAATTGAAACGCGGAAATACTACCCCATGCTGCTCAATGAGTGAAGGGAAAACACATCTTTATTATTCCTGCGTTCGCATAATATATAGGAACACTATTGTCTTTTTTATTTATTTTTATTTTTTCTCAAGCCCGTTTTAGCTTTCAGATGTGTTTTATTGTCTGTGGGAACATGTGTTTTACAGACCTGTCATGTGAAAGCTATTAACAAGAGGAACTGGAGAAATAACAATAAGCCACGTAACCGTGGCGTGTCTGCTCCCCAAGTTCAACCGTTACGCTGCCGCCTCAAGTGGATGTGAAATTGGATCGCGCCGAGCAGCCCTAGCTTTTCTACTGCAATTTTTCACTGGAAAGCTAAGGATTTTTTAAGTGGCCTATTAAGATCATATTGCTGGCATGAGAGGCACTTTTCAGGGCCAAACTGGCTTTGTATCAAAACGGTTAAATGGTGGAATGAAGATCGACTGGATTCACATGAGATGTCTGATTTTATTTGCAAGAATCTGAGCGGAGCAGGCAGCTCTGAAACCTCTGTTCGGTGTGTTGGGAACTAAACTGCCCCTCTGAACGGGCTCAGAATTAGCCCCTTGCCAGGGTCCTTACGGAGATATTGCCAATGGATCAGATACCAAGCGAGGGGAGGGTTCAACCCTGCGTGGGGCAGATCTGCTCCTGTCAAGGGGGAGTGGACAACAGGGCCTGTCTTAGGCCAACAGCCCTATCAATCCTGGATTAGAAAATCCTATTAAAAGTGCATTGAAAGAAGCCAAAATGGCTTGCATGAAGTAAAATGCAAGTTTGCATGCTGAAGGGGGATGTTGTTTTGATGACACTCAGTGTTGTAACTCTCTGGAGGATGATGCCTTTGCTAATTGCCTATAGAGCCCTACGCTGCCTGTGTGACTTTAAAGGAGAAAAGCTCTGATCTGCCAGTGCTCTGAATGTGTAAACAAAAACACCAATGCTCAAGCCAGTTAGTGGTCTACAAATACTCCCTACCACTTTGGGTAAGATCTGGGTGTGAGACCTGTTGTTTTGGCCAGATGACAGCGTAAGCCACTGTTTTGCTCACCTAAATGAGATTCCTTGTATCTTCCAGCCAACGCAGCTTATGTTTTTTGTGTTGTGTTTGGTGAGCTTGTTTGTCCTTTCCTTGTGCGAGTGGGAGGAGAGTTTCCTCTACATCGTGGCTTGGGTTGAGTTTCAGAGGGTTTGGGGGTGTTGCTTTGGAGGAACGTGCTGCTCATTTTGGCCGTGGCGGCAAAGATGGATGAGGAAACTGAGGCACATGCATGTGTCTAGCACAAGGGAACAACATGCAGAAGAATATCTCAGTGCTGCTCCTCTACGTTGAAGGCGATGCTGTGTTTCTCCAAAAGATAACAGGGAGTACCCCTTCCATAGTGGATCCCAACCATTGGCCACTTGTTTTTGAGCATCTCTGCTCAGTGTGAGGTGCAAAGCTTCTTTTCTCCCTACATTTTCCCCCTGGAAATGAATATTTCTGCACAAGGTTTGCACGCAGTGTACCCAGCTCATGCTCCAGAAGTGCCGTATTTGTTTTCGTGGCTTTTTGCAGAGGGACTGCTTTTGATGCCCGGTCCTGTAAGTCAATATATGCAGCGCACGAGGCTTAACTCAAACCAGGCAGCACAGACATGTGATAACCATAACAGAAGAGATACATTTTTCCCTGCAAGAGAAGCTTGGAAAAACAAATTCCAAAGCTATTCTCTTTGGAAAAATATCAATATGAAAAGAAAAGCATGAAGAACGGTGCTGTCTTGTTTGCGAGGGTCTTTGCAAGGGTTAGCTTTTTTTTTTTTTTTTTCTTTTTTCTGCTGCAGAGAGTTTGTATTTGTTTGTGCCTGATCAGTTTTGTTCTTATCTTCTCTTTTTTTGTAGCTGGGCTGCCCTTTCTGATCATCGAAACAAGCACAATCCAACCCTACCAGCGGGGCTTTTACTGTGATGATGACAGTATCAAGTACCCTCAGAAAAAGATTGAGACGATCAACGATGCGGTGCTGTGTGCTGCAGGCATCCTCATTACCATCCTCGCCGTAAGTACTGCCTCCGAAAATACCTTGCTTGGCCATCCTCAGTGTCTTCTTGTCAGCTTCCTAAGCCGATAGTATCAACGTGGGCTTTCACAGAAACATGGGCGCACGGTGACCTGTACCAAAGCTCTATATTTGAAATGTTCTTCTCCAAAGGCTCTGTTAGGACTGTGCTTTGAACAACAAAAAATGCTTGTATCAAGCTCCAGGGAAGGATGAAGGGTGACTTGTGGGTCTATCCTAAGGCACGGGACTTTTCACCTTTAGCTCAGTTAGTCAGGTCAGTAGCCAGTGGTGGTTCCAAAGCTGTTTGATGTCTGCGAGATGAGCTGATGATGAGGAGCTCATTGCAGTGCAGGGTGGCTGTTCACCCCAATCACTACAGGAGACTTCCCTAGCTTGGAGGCCACAGTAGAGCTAGGTACAGTCCCATACCTGGGTAGTCAAAGGAGAAATGCTAAAAGGCCTGTATAGCTTTTAGCTCCTCTTAAAGTCAAGGCTTTCACTGGTGAAAGTAGAGTGGGATGGTGGAGTGGTCTGGTTTCTATCAGACTGTTGGCATGGGGAGTTGAACCGCCTGGCTCACATGTCCGCCTTTGGAGGTGTATGTCTGCTGGGCTATTATCTGACTTCCGCCTAGTCACAAGCTGTAAACATCTGCTAATGAGAGCTTGCAATGGGAGGAATGAAGCTACACGCACAGGCCAAAGCTCTTGGGGCAAGTCTGGGAACTCCACGATGCGTTGGCCTTTTCACCTTCCAGGAGTCATTCAGCACAGAAGCAGAAAGGCTTGAGCATCAGTGTAGGCTTGGCATGGTTTGGCCCTATTCAAATAACTCCTGGTATCTGTCTTATCTTGCAAAGTTTAAAAAAGTCAACTGATGCATGCTCTGATCTGTGGTGGGTGGAAGATCTGCAGCCCCAAGTTGGGTTTTCAAGAGGTGGCTTTGCACTAGCATCCATCCCACATTCAGGCAGAATGAAAGACCTGTTTTTGAGCGTTGTTTAGATACTTCCATCAACAGATGAAATTCCCCAGGTTGCTTTGTGAAAAGTACCTACGTTCCCCTTCCATCCTGCTGCCAGCGCAGCCCAGATCTTTCCCAAAAGACACTGTCAAAGCTACCTTCCTCTTGCTCCTGCTAGACACAGTGGTCTAGGGCACTTCTTTTCCCCTCTGTGTTTTCATCCTTGCTTACAGAAGCAATGCCATGCCCAGAACTAGCTGAGCATGGCACAATGTCTGCATTAGCAGTACCCGTCATAGGGTCCCGTGTTGCTCTGCTCGTGAGGAGTCGCAGCGCAAAAGCGATCCCTGGCGCCTCCTTGTTCTTATTCCCCTCCATCCTCCAAACAAACCCCAGCAAATGACAACCCCCCCCGCCCCCAAATCTATAAACAGAAGAATTTTTACCCTGCAGGTGAATTACCCTTGAGTGTGGAAAAGCCATAAAAGCAAAATGAAAAAGCCTCTCATTTTCGCATTACTGCCTGACCTGTCGTCATTGCGGCTCCATGCAGAGTGGGCTTCTGATCAGTAATGAGGCAGTGGCAAATACAGGAGTTGGAACCGAAGCTGGAAACATAATCAGCTGCCTCTTGGATCCATCAGCTTTCTACCATGAAATAGCAGGTCAATTAAAAAGGAAAAGAAAATCCCCCAAAGAATTAGATGTTTCTGCACTGGTTTCGCTGTGCCCACAACAAATGTAACTTAATAAGGTAAATTCACAAGCTCAGTTATTTGCTGTTGAGTGATACAAATAGCTAACGAGGCAGTGAAGGAGCTGATTTCTTTGCCATGGCAGGGTATATGGAAAATTCAAGTCAGTCTGACCTCTTTTTCAAGATGTAACCCAGATACCAGAATTATTGTAGCATAAGAAGAATTCCTTCCAAATCCACAAAGCTCTGATTCCTCTCCTTTCACTCAAAGCATTTGCCTTCCAAAGGCAGGGCAGCAGTACGAGGACTTCCAGGGAGACAGGATTTTGGTCAGTAATGCCAAAATTTCACACCCATGCTTTGAGTGGCATCATTGGCATTCTAGGCCAGAGCCAAAGGTTCAGGTCATGTTTGAAATGGCTCGAAGACACTCAGAGTTCTGTTAAATAAATGTCAGAGACTAAGACTTTTTCCTTCTGGCAGGGCATAAGAGGATATGCATTTGTTTTAAAAACCTACATATTTACTGATTTAAGGCAAGTTTCCCTGTTTGCCGTCATGCACGCAGATGACCCTTGAGAAGCTCTCTCTTCTGCCCTTCATGAGGCCTCTTCATTGGTGTTGCTACTGCTCAGCCCTAGCTCTGTGTCTTGGGCACATTGTGAAATTTTCTTGCGAAAAATACCCAAGCAAATTAATTTCCTGGATGATTGAAGTTGCATAACTGGATTAGCTTAATGCTGTACAGTTGAAGGCGATACACTTCAATGTGATTAGGCTCGCCAAACAGTACACAAGAGACCTAACTGATTAGAAAGATTCACAAAATAATTGCAGGCTAATTGCATCACTGATGATGACTTAGGAGAATGAAGGAACAGGCACGAGAAGCACAAATCTGCAACAGGCAGGCATCAGCAGAGAGAAGTTTGGTGTTGACTTCTCACTAATGACCGTCTTTAAGTGTTTCTGACAGTTCCCTCTGGGAGTGACACACTCCATATAGGCACTGTGTACATCCCCGGCAAACGACTTGCCAGAGACACAAGGCAGAAGAAGAGCTTAATATCTCTGAGACTTGTTTTTGCAGGGTGCCTTTTTAGTTTGTGCCCATCTGTGCCGCATTAGTTTTTCCCTGCCATGTTTTATCAGGGATAGTATTGCCAAACCCCAATTTACCCAATTTTAGCTTCTCATTAAGGCTGAGCCATGGTTATAGCTGAGCAGGGAGGCCTCATGGCTGCCCAGCATCGTGTTAGCGAGGGAATGGAGTCTCCAATTTACAATCTGCTACATGTGTGCAATTACCAAGACCACCAACAGGGAGAAAAAAGTACTAATCCCTAGACTTCTGTCGGTCTCTTTTTAAAATGGTCCCGTCTTTCACCACCAAAAGCTTTGGGTTTAAGTGCATCTGTTTGGGAACTCTGAATAACATGGGCAGATTTCCAGTGCCATCCTTGATTCAGTTTGTTTCTTACTCCTCTGCAAAAGCAACACATTAGAGGCTGGGCTGCCCCATGTGAATTTAGGTGTCTGAGCTTTCGGGAGGCTGCGATGGGTGGCTGTGCACCCTTCTAGGTGTGCGTGGCAGTGGTCCACAGGGATGCTCACACCTCATCGGATACACCAGCAAGTCCCATGAGATGCAAGAGCAGCAGCTGGGTGGGATGATCAGCCTCTCACCCAAATATATCACCTGACTGCCAGCTTGCATTTGAAGACAGTCCAGAATGGAGATCAATCATCTTCCTACACAACCTTTGGAACTTGCAAGGATTAAAAACGCTCCTTGTCGGGATAGCTGCATGTCCCCAGATGATGCTTGGCTCAGGCCAGACTCTCTTGAGGAGCAGATCTTAGCTGGGACTTGCAAACCTTGGGTGGCAGTGCAGTCGCCAAGCACATTTCTGTGCAAAACATGCTGGTGGAAGCTCCGGTTGGGCTTTATTTTTTATTATTGCAGTTGTGTGTCCCTCCGATAAAGCCCACCACGCTGTCAGTTCAGCTGCTTTGGGTCGACCTTTTGTTTTTTCGAGCCGCGGTGCTGCAGAGTTCAAACAACGATACGGTTTCATCTCCCCTTGGTCTTAATTGCCCTGCTTTTCCACTTTATGGCTTTCCAAAGGCTGTGCCAAGCCTTTAAAAAAGGTAGGCAGGGGAGCCGTGGCTCCTGCCTGCAGCTGGCGGGCTGTGCGGGAGGGATATTGCTGCCTGCTCCGGAGGGGCTTAGCATGAAGGCATTTTTCCTGACAGTTAAATTTCATATCGCAGCGGCCAAGGGGGCAGGGGAAAAAAGAAAAAAGAAAAAAAAAAAAAACGCACACTTTTATTGCTCAAGTATAAAAACATTTCAAGTAATGAATGAAATCCTAAAGCTGTAAATCGGGAGCTCAAGAAGTAGGTGCGGAAGGCGACCGAGAACAATTTAAGCCTTTGCCTCTTAGGGAGAGGTGAGACATTTGGACTTCATTTCATAGGCTGATTTTCATTAAACGGCCTTTTAAGGGGTGGGATTACAAGGAGCCGGGCCCTTGGGTTTGCAGCAGAGATTTATGGCACCCTTGTTAGGACCCAACACCCCCAAAGGGGCACAAGAAATACAGGATTTGTTGTGGAGCAGCGGTGAGACCCATCGAAATTCCCAGCGATGCCGAGTCTTTCTGAAGTTGTTTGATTTATTTTTCTTCCCCCGCCTCCCCCCCCAAAAAATTGCCATGGTGGCAATTTCTCAAGCAAACACCAATTCTTTACGTATTTTAAGAGAAATTTGTATTTCTCTTGCACCGCTATAAATCCAGGGCACCCCTCTGGTTCTTCTGTGTGAAATAGGCTGTTGATGTGGGATACTCTTGCATCCCTTGCTGCTGGGGAAGGACAAGCAGCAAGTGGTTAGGAAAGGAGACCGCTTTCCTGTCCTGTCATCGTGCATGCATGATGGATGCATGGAGTAGTGCTGGGAAGAGCAGCCGTGTCCAAGGTCTCTTGCAGGGCCATCTTGCTGGGATGATCTTCTTTGATGGTCTTCTCCATTCTTCTGCCTTCTGTAAGAGCCACAATTCCGTCTTTTGGCCAACAAGTCTTTAATCAGCTTAAAAAGCCATTAAACAGCTTAAATCACCCTGAGATGGGGATCTTGCTCGGTGGCAGATGCTTGTCCTCGTGTTGTAGGTGGACGCATGTCCCTGGGGAAGTGGTCGTGCGGGGCATCTTCCCAGCTTCCTGACCCTCTTCCCCATCTCTCCGGTGTTTCCCCGGCAGATTATAACGGGCGAGCTCTACCGGATCCACTACCTGAAAGAGAAGTCGCGCTCTTTCATCCAGAACCCCTACGTGGCGGCGCTCTACAAGCAAGTGGGCTGCTTCGTTTTCGGCTGCGCCATCAGCCAGTCCTTCACAGACATTGCCAAAGTGTCCGTCGGGCGCTTGCGACCCCATTTCCTGGACGTTTGCAATCTCGATTTCTCGACAATCAACTGCGCCAAGGGAGTTTACATTCAGAACTACACTTGCCGGGGCAATGACAGCACAGTCCAGGAGGCCAGGTGAGAGCCCTTTTAGTTGTGTTAAATCTTGCCCTAAAAAGCAAAAGAAAAAAAGGGGAAAAAAAAAAAATTGTGGCTGCTGCCAAAATGGGGCATCACATCAAGTATTTCTCAGGGTTTCTCTGCCAGCAGTAGATCATTTGAATGCTCCTTTCTCTGGGAAGGCTGTAACTTCATCCAGCAGTACTGGGCAGTTTCCCCCCAGAGTTCTGCTGAATAATCTTCTTTTCTGCCCCGTTACTCCCACGCTGTTGCTCCGCACGCCTTTGCTCCATGCGGGAATTGGCCAGGAGAGCCGATTTAGCGGCCTGTTCCTCCCCGTCCCGTTAACCGGTTGGGATCCCGTGCTGTGCCTGCCGAAGGGCCAGCGTTTTATTCCTGTCCGATTTCCCGGCCGGCCGGTGAGTTATTGCCGGGCGGTGCTGGAAGCAGCGGCGCTGTCCCACGGCTGCGCCAGGAAGGCAGGAACAATGCCCGCATCCTGCCCGCCCGCATCCGGGATCCGCGGCCCCGGCGGCAACGCTCCCGCACTCTAATGCGCCTCCTTTGTCTTGCAGGAAGTCCTTCTTCTCGGGCCACGCGTCCTTCTCCCTCTACACCATGCTCTACTTGGTGGTAAGTAACCTCCATATTACTTGAGACCTGTCTGATCCACTCTGGCTTTTTCCCAAAGGCTCCCCAACGTTCTGCAGAAAAGAGAGGAATAAAAGCCGGTGCTAGCCCATGGTGGCTGGAGCTCAGGGGAATGCTCCAGAACCCCAGGGGATGCTCTGGAGCTCCAGGAGATGCTCCAGAGCTCAGGGGGATGCTCCAAGGGAAGCTCCGGAGTTCCGGGGGATGCTCTGGAGCACGATTTGGGATTTTCAGCTGAGCTTATTGCTACTTGCGGCTGGGCTGCGGGCCCTGTCCTGGGGCAGGTGAAGCAACCCGGGGCTGGATGCGATCCGGGGCCGGGCGCGCTTCCCTCCGTCAGCGGGAAGGGCTCTGCCCTTCCTGCGCCGGGGCTGGGAATAGCGCCGCGTGCCAAGGTGCTTCCTGCCCCGGCTGTGGGAGGAGGCACGCTCCGGGGGCGCCTCCGGGCGGACCTCTGCGGGAAAGGCTGTCCGGGTAGGGATCAGTCCAAAAAAAAGGAAAAAGGAAAAAGGAAAAAAGATCAAGTGCTTTTAAAGATTTGTGTCCTGCTCCCTGTATCTCATATAAGCGCAGCCTGGAAAGCAAAGGGAGAGCAGCGCCCTTGCAAAAATATTAAAGGTGAACTTGTATTTATCTGTGCGCAGTACGGCCTCCTCCCTTGTGTCTTTACTCTGCCCTCTGGAAAGATAAATGACCACTGCTCCCTCCTGGCCTTTAATCCCAGGATTTCTCCCACTCTGGGCTGAAAGCAGCTTCTGCAATTTAATTCCCAAGTTTTTCAGGCTGCTTGGTAGCGGGAGGAGGGTTTTTTCACCAAACAGGAGTCACCGCTTGCACCAAATCACCTCCTCAGGAAGCGGCGAGGGCTGCTGGCGATGCTCGGGTTATCCTTTGGGACACGATATCCCCGGGGTGATTTTTAAGTGATGCTGCTCCAAGCCCGTCTTTGGGAAGCAGAGCGGGATACCCAGCAGGTCATTTTCCAACACTGTTTTGCACCACTGCCCACAGACAGGTTTTCTCTGGGTTTGCCCAGTGCTTTAAGCATGGCTTTTCGGCAGTGCTGGGAGTTTTTGCCCTCGGCTCCAGCCCTCACAAGGGCTACCCCTCGCCTCACGGAACCATGTGATTTCTACAGAAATTCCATGATATTACAGCAGAAATTCAGCTCATCTATAAGTCCAGCGTCTTCCTAGAGTCCATACTAAACAATACAAATTTTTAGAGGCAAAGGTTCCCTGGCGTTCCCTCACATTAATCCCTCGGCGCATTTAGGATTATGGCAGTTAGGAGCGGAGCTGGCAGGTCCATTTGAGCGTAGGTCACTAAAGCTGCTCCGGTACCGATTTCGGTTTGGCCACAGACTCCCACTGGGAAATGAGCACCGGAGTGCCCTAGGCAAGAGCTTGCACAGAAAGGCACTTACAGCCCAGTAAAAACTCCTGGGATTTAATTATAAATGCTAGGACTCTGGGGCTGCATTTTTTTCCTGCCGTCTTCTTGTCACCAGCAACACCCAATTAACATCAGGCCTTTTGTATAAAAATTTAAAAAGGGAAATTACACTTGGGTAATCCTCTCTGTCTTAGTTTTTCCATGCTCTGCAGCTCTTTGGCCGAGCACACCCGCAATGCGTATTTATATTGGGCTACAGAAGGAGGGGACAGGCAAGTGGGAGGTCTTCAGGCCACCATGGTGGGCGTCCTGTGCTCCAGCCAAGCCCACAAGACCCCAGTACTGATGTTTTACAGCACTCACTGCCCTGAAATCACAGATAATGCACAGAAGAGACATCATCCCAAAAGGGTCATCCATGCCCTTACCAACGCTGGTGAAATTGGGATAAAATGAGAGTGAAGTAAGACGGCTTGTGGATTTAGGGTGGGTTGGTGGATGAGGTTGGAGTCTTCAGATCAGAGTTGGTTTTGGTGTGTTCTGCTGGTTTGTGTAAGGAGTGACACTTGGTCTTGTGTCTTTTGGTGAAGGTGAGGTTTTGTGCCAGGGTTTCCTCCTGAAGCCGAGGGAGAGGGGTGAACTTCTGAGGAGCAGTGAGGTCCTAGGAATGATGGATTATGAGGTGCCTGAAGCAAAGGAAGCTCTTTGGTGTTCATGGTTCAAGGCAGACTCCACTGGGAAGCCTGGGATTTCAGTGGGATGTGGGCTGGCCTTCTGTCCCCTGCCTAAACATCACTTGTTTGGTTTGAGATGGGATGAGCGAAGGGAAGGGATGAGCAAACAGTGTGTCCTTATGTTGTGAGGAGGTTCTTGGTCTTCTCTGTTGCCAGCCCAACACTAAGAGCTAAATCCTACTGATATGCTCAGCCCACTCAGGTTCTTACACAAGAGTGAGTTTGGGTTGGAGGAATTTTATTGTGTTTTTACCCTGTGGACCACTGCACTTGCAGACAGATGTGGAGAAGGGGGAAAGCTCAGGTCAAGTCCAGATCTTACAGCCAGAGAAGCGCGCTAAAGCCAACCATTTCCAAGAAGCAGATACTAGCAGTGAGCAAAGGATGTGGTTGCGGGAGGTCAGCCCTGTGATGGGCAGGGCAAGAGGTAGGATGGGTCCGTGGGTGGCAGAAAACCCCTTGGAGGCCCCCCTGATGCCCTGGAAATCCCCTGGCAGGAGAAGGGCCGCGTAGTGTCCCTCACGCCACGGGAGGGGTAATGCGCTCCTGCATCTCGCTCCATCTGTGGTTCAGCACGCAGCTGCCACCCGGCGTGGGTGGCTGTGGGATGTTGCATAGTAGGGACAATGCGGGTTGTGGTCGCACTGGTGCTGCTGGCTCCAGGGAGGACTCTGTCCGTCCCAGATCCCTGTGAAAACTCAACAGGGCTGTAGGCATCGCCTGAGATTCCCTCCAGCCGCTTCCAGGGGCAGGTTTGCAGACAGGCCACCAGGAACTGCCCATTTCACAGCCCTAGCCCTAATTCCTGGAAAATCCTGGCCTTGCCAGTTCCCCGCCCCCTGCCTTTTTTTTGTGCTTTGATCTCCCCTCATTGGCTAAGTTATTCTTTCACACCAAGGGCAAACACAAAGTTTGGAGCGCCCTGAGTTAAGCCTTTAAGTACTGATGGGCTCCTCAGCATCCGGGCGTTGGAGCAGCATCTCACCTATGTTCTTTATCCTCCCAGTGAGCTTGTGAAATATGGACCTGTTTTTTGTTGTTCTGAATGGCTGGAGAGCTAAAGAACAACTTCTGCAAGAGGCTGTTACTGTGGCAGTAGAAGGGGATTCAGTGGTGAATTCTTACATTTATAGTGCAGCATCTGCCTTATTGCATCTTCAGTTCAGTGTTGGTGATTTATTGCTAATTTTGACTTAATGCATGGCTCTGTCACCCTGACTCGCCTGTTCAGTCCCGGCTTGGAGGACACAAGGATCTGAGGCCCAGCTCCACACGCCTTTGATTTGCGGGCAGGAGGTTCCTGCTTTCCTGTGCTCTCTTCCCTCTCACGTTCCCTGGTTCCCACAGGAACCTGGGAAGCGGGTTGCGCCCGCAGCGTGCAGCGGAAGCCGGCCCCAGATAACCACTGGGGGGGACAATATCCACTTGACGTCACGGTCACTTCGACTTCTTCTTCCTCACACTGGGTCCTTGTCTTTTCCCCTTGCCATGGTCCCGGGCTTTGCTCCACACCCCGGCAAGTGCTGGAATGAACTAGAGAGCCCATAGCAGATTAAATAAGACTGCAGGATCACTCCTGCACTACGGGGAAGGAAGGAGAGTGTTTCCCTGGTGCTCCCTGTGCTTCCCGGGAATGCTGCAGAACGGCATCTTTTTGGTCCACATTATCAGTGGTCTTGGCCATACGGAGGGAGCTGCAGCTGGCAGGGCTCAGGGTGGCTCTTTTAGATGCCACGTGCTACATTTCCTGCTCACTTGCGTCCCGTGTTGCTCCTGGTCCATCCTTTCTATCTGGACCCTCCTCCCCTTGAACAGCGGGTGCATTTGGGGAGCCGCTCAGAGCCTCGCCGTAACTCCTCTTCCCCTCTTCCCCACAGTTTTATCTGCAGGCCAGATTCACGTGGAAGGGAGCCCGGCTGCTTCGCCCCCTCCTGCAGTTCACGCTCATCATGATGGCGTTTTACACGGGGCTGTCCCGCGTCTCCGACCACAAGCACCACCCCACCGACGTGCTGGCGGGGTTTGCCCAGGGAGCCCTGGTGGCTTACTGCGTGGTAAGTACGGGCTCGTTTTTTTCTTAATGCAGCAAAACATGAGAAAACGCCTAAGAAAAGCCGTGCTTGCTGCCCGCTGTGTTCTCATGCAGTTTGCTTCCAACAGGGTGACCTGATTGCACAGGCCCCTAACTCGAAGTGACACTTTAGATGCTCAGTGTCAGCGGGCGGTGGGTACTGGCTCCGCGGAGGGATGTGGTGCCCTGCACTGGGACTGCAGTGACCTGAAACAAAATTAAGCTCCAATGGTCTATTTTGCAAGAAAAGAGATTATTTGGGTACTCACAGATAATTTTCTAAAAGCATCAGTTAGATGTTTCTCTATGGTCTTGTTACCCAACGTGTGTTAGTGGGTGTGTTTTGCCCATGTCCCATTAAGGCACAGCGGGCCAGCGCATTCCAAGTGAGGGAAACCTAAAGAAATAAGTATATGTTAGCGCATGTAGAGATGTGTGCTTTTTCTCCTTGTCCTTGCTGTTTTAGTGCCTGCTAGTAGCAGCATTGCTGTGGTTCCTCTGTCTTTTATCCCAGTAGCGTGTGGGCATCTCTTGGCACTCTAGAAACCTTTTGGAGAGTAGTGTGGTGCTTATTGCTTGATCCAGGTGCCTGAATTTTTGCCACATAGATTTATCTAGGCACCAATTGCCCCTCAGTGTCCTTTTCAGGCATGGTTTAGTGGCTGGAAAGTCTCATACAACAGCGAAAGGTGGGAGCTTGAGTCTGGGGAGCAGCTTTAAACCCTAACCCGGTCCCCTTTCATCTGCTTGCAAAGAATGTGCCAGGTGGTCCTGTTGTCCCGAGTCCAGAGGGCTCAGACCTGGCAGCTGGGAGTGACGCTGCACCATGACACAGAAACCCTTGGGATTTTACTCTCGTGATATCCAAGGGCCATTAAATTGCAGTAGTTATCAGGCCGTAGCTTTGGGTGGAAGCCCACCACAGGATTCTTCTCCAAGGCTTGCCAGAGCTCAGATCCAAGTTGTGTTGCAGGCGGCATGTTTGTCCTTCCCTGCCTGAAATAACAAGCACAAGACATCAGTGTCAAGCACTTCCAGCTGATGAAACATTTCTATGTGGTTCTAAGGTGAAATATGATGAGAATTGGTTAAATGGAAATAGTTTTTTTTTTTTTTATGTGCAGGGTAGGCAGCCTGCTATGTGTCCTGTAGTTTATGTCTCTTCTGATGGAGAGGAAAACAGGGATATTGCTGAGGAAAGAGGCATATTCCTTTTGGTGTTGCTCTTATTAACTTGGATTAGGGTTTTTAACCTTCAGGGATTTCTTCAGTACAGCAAAGAGGGATTGTTAAGTGGCAATGTAAGATATTGCCTTTCTTGTGCAGCACATTCTTGGTCTTTGGCTGTCAAGTTTTCTTTATGGGTGGAGAGCACCTTCTACAGGAAATGGAGCTAATCCAAGTGCAAAACTTTGCACATTTATTAGTCCTTTTTTTTGTGTTAAACCGTTCAAGCATTAAGAGGATTTAACACAGTTTTAACCCTGGAAGATCATGTTTCATGATTCCTATAAGTGTTTATATAACCTCAAGCCACGTTAAAGTGAAATACAGTTTAAAGAGAGATTAAAACTCTTAACTGGTCTCCAAATTAAGGCCTCAAAAGCAGTGAGCAGCATAGTAGAGGCTGAAATACCCGGAGTGACACTCTGCAGTGACTTACTCCCTCAAATTGAGGCCAGGCTCAGTGCCGTCCCCATGTGCTTCTTGCACTGAGCCATCTTCTCATGCCAATTGATTTATTACAGCTATTTCAGGACAGAAATGGGGCATCTTTTTGATTGAATCCAACCCTCCAAGGTGGGCAGGGTGGGAGAGCGCATCGGCTTTGCTCAAAAAGAGCTGAACAGAGGGGTTATAACAACTCAGTTAGCAACTGAGAAGAGAAACCCTGCTGGAGCAGCGAGCAAGATACCTCGCCACATAGATGCCATCAAGAGATGTTTTTTGCACAATGGGTCTTGCTTTTCCGCTGAGCAAGAAGAGCCGCGACACAACGTGTATCCACTTCCCAAATTCCCTATTACAACCGTGGACATAAATTGCCATTTATAGCAGGTTGGCTGGGCCGCTCGGCTCTTATCTGCCCGGCTCTGATAGCGACTCATGAAAGTTGCTCCCAAGGACGACTGGACCTGCTTGCGTAAGGCTCTGGATAGCGAGAAAACACGGAATGGCAGGAACAGCGAAAGGCTTTTGCCCCCCTTTCTTGTTACCCAACTCAAGCCAGAGCAGCCCTTTGCAGAGCGTTGTTGTGTCTGAATGCAGCCCGCGCTGTCATTTCCTGGCAGTTTTTAGCTACTTTGGTGGAGATTTGTGTATTGCATGCTGCGGTAGATGACATGGTTTTGTAGTGGAATTGGTGCTGAGTTTTGTGAGGTCTGAGCCCTGCTCCGTATCGTGCAGCAAGGTTGTAGCTAGGCGGATTTCACAGCATTTGGGTGTTTTCTGCAGGGGTTGATAGCACAAAAAAATATTAATATATATTCCATAAAACAAATAAACTATCTCCCAACATGTCTAAGTCGCATTTTCCAATTGCTCCCACAGGTGTTTTACGTCTCAGATCTCTTCAAACCCAAGACAAAGACTTGCCTGCCTCCACCCCCCATCCGGAAGGAGATCCTTTCGCCTGTGGACATCATCGAACGGAATAACCATCACAACATGGTGTAGACCTCCGGAAAAAAAAAGAAATCCGACTTGTTTTTTTATTTTATTTTTTAATTTTTAATTTTTTTTTTTTGCAAAAATGACTGCTGACAGCAACTACCTGCTGCTCTCAAATCTCATCAGACAGTAGAATGTAGGGAGAGACTTTTTTTGCCCAACCGGTAAAGTCTTACTCTGTGGTCTTTTCAACTTGCGACGTTTGGATGAAAAGGGGGGGTGGGTTGTTCAACTAAGTCAAAAGCACCAGCGAGAAGCAAAAAGTGAAACAAAACAGAACAGCAAAAACAAAAAGCGCCGAACAAACTGAGAGAGGTGCCGGAGTTCTGGATGTGCAATTGGTTTGAGTGTTCATGTTGTAGTGAACGCCAAATTGTTCATAGCGTAATGAACACTAAAATGGTTTTGTAAAGCTGACCATCTTCATTTTTTTTTTTTTATTACTATGAAGATTTCCAGTGCCTCTGCTAAAAGGAAAAAAAGCAAAAAAAAAAAAAAACCAACTCGCAGCTAAATTACAGAGCACTATGTACAAGAAGCAGCACTGAGTCAAGATTTGGGATTGGTTTATGAGTTGCCTTTTTTTTTTTTTGAATCTTGGTTTATCATTTTCCTCCTCCGTTCCATACTGTGACTTAGTTTAGAAGAAGCTTGCCCGGTCCAAGGTCTCCAGAAGGTCCCTGTTCACACTACGACACAAGCAGCGATGGGGTGCTCGGAGAGGTGGACCAGGCGCAGCGTCTCCGGCCAGCCGGGAGGACTGGAGCATCCCCGCGCTTCCCGCCTCCGTCCCCTTTTCCAGCTCCCAGCAGGTTCCCGGCCCTGCCGCGGCCGTCCTCGGTCGCTCCGTTGCAGACGTGGTCGCACCACAAATTCGGGGCTGAGTCCCGGGGAAAACAGCGGATCCGGCGCTTTTGGGATGGCTGCTGGGCGGCACGTCCCAGCCGGGGGCAGCTCCGGGAAGAGGCACCGGCTCCAGCGCCCTGCGCGTGACACTGCTGGGAAACCAGGCACACGGATAGCAAAGGGTATTTTTTTTTTAATTCTATTTTTATTCTTTTGCCCAGCAACCACAGGGGGGGTGGTTTGCTGCTGGAAAAGCCACGGTGGGAGCTTGCAGAGCTCCTCGGAAAAGGGATCGCGCCAATCATGCAGAACGGCCATTTGCACATCCTTCTTACAGAATCCGTCCTATCATTTCAACTATAGCAAGCTATGACTTTTTTATATATAAATATTATATAAATAATGTATAAAACCTTAAAAATTAACTATGTAAAATATTATTTCTGAAACAATTTTAGATATATCCACTATGACTATAAACTGTGTCCTGACCTGTGTTATTTACATTTTGCTGCTTAAAAAAGCATTGAATTAATTTTTTTATAGTCGACTAAAATATTGTAGTTCTGTGGTAGTAATATTTTAATGAAAAAATAACTACAATTAGAGACATTTGTATAAAAAAAAACATATTAAATTGTCTGTATTTTTGTAATGTTCCATTTTGTAAAGAGAAGAATATTCAAAGACTTTTGTAGAATACAAAATTAAAGTTTGTATCTGCGAAATTATTGCTGTATAAATGTGCTTTTTAAATAAAAGCTCATAACACAACTAAATACCTGGCTGTGACTTGTGTTGTGCTTTGGGGATGGACCTCCATGGGCCTAGTGTGGGTCTTGCTCTGCCTTGGGACATCACGTGTGGTCCCCACTCAGGAGTAGGAGTTGGGGCAGCTGTTTCGAGTTGATGAAGATGAAGGCAGCCTTATCTGGACTGATTCCGGATAAAAAGGCACCACTGTTCACGGGGGACCTGACGCCACTGTATATGGTCGGAGGAGAAGGCACCCACCGAGGTCTCTGCAGCCGGTGATGGGTGTGAGGAGCACGGTCATGGTTTGGATTGAATCCTCCCTAGGTATGCCCGGATGTGATCACATCCCTTTCTATTTATCAGTATTTTATCTTAGATTGTATCAAAGAAGGCTAAAGCTATGGATATATTTTAAGGTATAGATGTATTTTGATTCCACATTCATTTCAGCCAGGCTGCTGTGTCTCTCACAGGTGTTACGTACAGTCCCTGCCTAGGAGGGCTTGCTATTTATATGGAGAAATTCATACAGGTAATTTATAATACGTGGACAGTGACACAGACACAGCAAGCAGCGCCAGGCAGCAGGTTTCCTCCACCGTGGACTGTAGCTAAAATTCATGCTTGATTTTTTAATTATTATTGTTATTTTAATTCCCTCTTGCAGCAGGTGAGAAGAAAATGAACTTCTTGGCGGTGACACACTAGGTCAGGACGGCGTTTGGGCCACTCCTTGGGTGAACCGCGCCGGCAAGATAACGTGGCCCCAGAATAGCTTGTGAGAATGTGCGACGGGAAGTGGATCCCACATCAAACTCGGAATAAATAGCAGGTGGAAGCGAAGCAGGCAGCGCTCGCTATGATTATCCGAATGGTTATTAAGATTCTTAGGCGTGGAAAAAAAAAAAGGACACCTTGGTAAAGTTGCGTCTGCCCTAAATGCAAGGGAGAAGATAATCGGGATCTAGGTCCCACATCCAGTGCTGTGGCACCTTGCCTGATGGGCAGAGACCTTTCCAGGGGAATGGTGCATGCAGGAAGCATTGGACGGATGCATGGATAATGAATGGATGGATAATGGATGGACAATGGATGGATGAACCTGAGTGAGGGGTGAAAGGCCCTGCCATGAGTGATGGACTGTGACCTGCGATGAAGCAGCTGGGGACATGGGGACACCCACGCGGTGCCCAGCTGCAACAGGGCAGGGTAGAGGAGAGAACAGAGCAACCATGGGTGTTTCCGTAGGGGCAGGAAGGAAGTGAAAGAGAAATCGGAGGAACAGAAAAACAAAACCAAACCCCACGCACATGCATCTGCACATGCACATCCACAAACTGCAGCTGGCTGGGTCGGGCAGCTTTCATGCCACCCCGCAGGTACCCGCAGCTAACACAGCGAGGAGGGAATTGCATTACTAAATAAATAAATAATCGGATCTGTTTATGCGAAGAGGGAGCTTTGAGGTGCCTGGGGCTGGGTGCCAGCTGCGGCCGGCGGTGCTGCGAGCCCGGGGCTCTGCCCGCCCTCCTTTGATGCTCGGGTCGTTCCTGCGCCCGGCGCCGTGCCGGTCGGACCTGTCTGCCCCGGCGCCCCGACAGGTTGAGCGTGTTTCTGCGCGCTGCGTTTGTGCGTGCACCTGACAGCCATGGGAGCAGCCCTGCGGTTGCAGGGCAAGGAGGGCTGAGGCGAGCGCTGCGCCCAGCGCTGTTTCGGTGCACCCGAAATAGCTGCTCTCAGCAAGAAGGCTCTGCCCCGCCGCCAGGCGCGCCGGCTGCTCGCACTCGCCCCGGCCGCTTTCGGATACGGAGCCCTCAGTCAAAACATGGGAAGGGAGGAGGTGGGCCCCACGAGCAGGGACCTGCTTGCTCCCGTGCTGAGTTTGGCCTCTTTTGGACATCCAAAAATGGCCTGGTGAGCTGCTCGCAGGCGCAGGTTGGTGCAAGTCCCGTCCGCACGTCCCCACCTGGGTACCACCGTGATCCCCTCCGTGGAAGGAAGCAAAGGCAGCTGGCAACCGCATCCTCAAGCAGCCAGCCCCCAAACCCAGGAGTTCTCAGTTGCCACCTCCACACGCCCCCCCCGCGGGCAGCAGCCGTGTTGCCTGCGTTGGCTTGCCCACGTTGGGATGTCCTCGGGGCACAGACTGCGCTGCGGTGCCCGCTTGCATCGCAGCCGCCAGACTGGTTGCCCCATCCTATCTGCAGCTGCCAGGGAGTGAAGTCACCCACGAGGGCGGCCGATGCCCCTTGTTTTCCTTCGAGAGTCGTCCTGAGAGTTCTTGCCCTGCCTCCTCCTTCGATGGGTTCTGCTTTCCATGGATGGTGGGCCTGCCTCACCTAATACTTGGGTTCTGTCTTTAACACTCAAAACAACCATCAGCTTAGATTAAATTTTTTGTAAACTTTCCCTAACTGTTTTTTCCATGCCATGTCTTGGGATGCGTTTCTCAGCTGGTAGCAGAGACGTTGTAATGTGGAGTCTTTGAAGGCATGAACTTTGCTGAGTTCCACCTCACTTTACACAAAGAGTTCATAATCAGCAGAAAGAAGAACCACCAAAACATGTTATGTGTGATAAACACACACACACACACATACTCTTTCTCATGGAGATACTACAACTTGTTTGTAGAGGTGAGTATTCAGCCTGCTCCTCCTGATGGGAAACCTTTGAAGTCATTCAAATTAGGCCAAAACTTGAAATAATGATGTGACTTCTCTCATTAACCCGAATGAGCACAGCGAAGCAAAGCCATTGCTTGGTACGGATGGGGACAGGGGTGGCAGGCACTGTGTGCCAGCTGAGCCCATCTGCAGATGTGAGAGTGTGCCAGGTGAGGTCATGCTGAGATAACGTTAATGAGGGCGCCTTATGTTTGCGTTATGCTGATCTTTTCCCTAAAGAAATAACATAAATGGATCAGGAAGAACTGTGCTGTTTTAATAAAGAACACACCAATAAAACAAAATAAAAAAATAAAATAAAAGAAGCCTTCTCATCTGAAGGAGGGAGCACCCATCTTGGAGCCCCATTACTCGAGAAGGACCTCTCTGCTGCACAAGTGAGTAATTTGCTTCTTTTCAAGGGACTTTTAGTGCAAACGAGTAACATGGTTCCAGCCTCTTAGGGGCTTGTCTGAACAGGAAGAGCTGTTAAGGTTTAATGCGAGGCAAAATTTTAATCCATTTCATTACAGC